GGCGCCCGGCCCCGACAACATTCAATATTTTAAAAAATATGTATTTCGGTACAATTAGTTCATGAGAGTTTTCTTCCCCCAAAATTCAATTAGTACTGTTCTATGTTCTTCAAATGTGTTTTCACCTTACGTTAAACAAAGTTAACGTTCTTTCTGTCCCATAAAAGATAAAATGATTATCCTACGTCAGTATTTTTTCTTTTAAATTTTTAATAGATAGGGTCTTGCTCTGTGAACCAGGCTGGAGTGCAGGAGCACGACTGCAGCTCACTGCACTCTCAAACTCCTGGGCTGAAGTGATCCTCCTGCTTCAGTCTCCCAAGTAGCTAGGACTGCAGGCACATGCCAAACCAGCCCTTTTTTATTTTGTTTTGGGTAAAGATGGGGTCTCAAACTTTTGGCCTCAAGTAATCTTCCAGTCTCAGCAACCCAAAGCACTGAAATTATAGGGGTCTAGCATTTTCATATGCCTTAACACTTGCTAATTCTATGTGGAATTCAATTGTGAATAATAAGAAAACAGAATGATCCAAATGGTACAACTTAAGTACGTATCTTCAAAAACAACTCAAATTAAAAATTCCGAATAAATCTATCATCTACCATGGTAATCAATCGATTCATCTAGACAGGGTCTCAATTTTGTTGCCCAGGCTGGACTGGAGCATTCACAGTTCACTGAAGCCTCAACGCCCTGGGCTCAAGAGATCTTCCCACCTCAGCTGAGACTATAGGCATGTGCCACCACACCTGGCTAATTTTTTAATTTTTTTTTTTTTTGTAAAGAGAGAATGTCACTCTATGTTGCCTAGGTTGGTCTCCAATTTCTGGGCTCAAGCAATCTTCTTGTACTGCCCGCCCATAGTGCTGAGATTACAGGTGTGAGGCACTGCAACTACCTTACCACTAAATTTATAATTGAAAATAGTAACTCTGGGCTAAAGTGAGGCTGAAAAAAGAATATTATCACAAGGGGAGAGGCATGGTGGTTCACACCTACAATCCCAGCATTTTGGGAGGCCTTGGCAAATGGATTGCTTGAGGTCAGGAGTTTGAGGCCAGCCTGACCAACATGGTGAAACCCCATTTCTACTAAAAACTACAAAAACTAGGCCAGCTGTGGTGACTCACACCTGTAATCCCAGCACTTTAGGAGGCTGAAGCAGGCGGATCACTTGAGGCCAGGAGATTGAGACCAGCCTAGGCAACATGGTGATACGCCGTTTCTACTAAAAATACAGCAACAAAAAAATAGCTGGACATAGTGGTGCACGCCCGAAATCCCAGCTGAGTAGCAGAGGCACGAGAATCGCTAGAGCCTGGGATGCAGAGGTTGCAGTAAACAGAAATTGCGCCACTGCACTCCAGCCTGGCCGACAGAGCTAGACTCTGCCTCAAAAGAAATACAAAAATAAATAAAAACAAAATACAAAAATTAGCTGGGCGTGGTGGCACATACCTGTAGTCCCAGGTAGGTGGCTGAAGCACAAGAATCACTTAAGGCTGAGTATGACAGCTCATGCCTGTAATCCCAGCACTTTGGGAGGCCGAGGCAGGCAGATCACCACTTTAAGTCTGCAGATCGAGACCAGCCTAGCCAACATGGTGAAACCCTGTGCCTACTAAAAACACAAAAATTAGCCAGGCATGGTGGTGCATGCCTGTAGCCCCACTCAGGAGTCCGAGGCAAGAACTGCTTGAACCTGGAAGGCAGAGGTAGCAATGCAGTGAGCCAAGATCATGCCCCTGGGTGACAGAGCGAGACAGACTCCATTTCAGAACAAACAAAAAACAACAAGGATCACTTAAACCCCGGAGCCAGAAGATGCAGAGAGCCAGGATCCCACAACTGTACTCCAACCAAGTAAGGCTCTGTCTCAAATTAAAAAAAAAAAAATTTATTTAACTATTTACCTTGTGTTTTCTGTTCAAGAAGTCGTCGTCTTTCATCCATATCTTTTTCTGGAATACCCTCCATACCATATATTTCCAATTCTATGTCTGTTCTCCCAGGTATTGCATTTGGTACGGCATCTATTGTTTCTTTATGTACCTAACAACAACAATTTCCATTAGTTAAAAGTATTTTTTAAGAGTAATTCCAAATTAATCAAAGACCACTTGGTATAATGTTAAAAAAATCAATGTTCAGCTAGGTGCGGTGGCTCACGTCTGTAATCCTAGCACTTTGGGAGGCCAAGGTGGGGGATCACAAGATCAGGAGTTCGAGACCGGCCTGGCCAACATGGTGAAACCGCGTTTCTACTAAAAATACAAAAATTAGCCAGGCATGGTGGTGCACCCCTGTAATCCAAGCTACTCTGGATGCTGATGCAGGGGAATCGCCTGAACCTGTAAGAAGGAGGTTGCAGTGAGCCGAGATGGCACCACTGCACTCCAGCCTGGGCAACAGTGAAGACTCCATTTCAAAAAAAAAAAAAAACAGAAAAACACACATTTGGCCAGATGTCTAACACACACTAAGCATTTAATAAACATTCCTTCAAGTTTACCATACAATCTTGATTACTTGAATTGTTAGCAATAACTAGTAGTCCTATCCAAATCAGAAATGTTTCAAGTGTGAATTAAGTAAAGATTAGGAAACAGCCTCATAATGAGAACTGGAATATAGCCAGACTTGGTGGCACACGCCTATAGTCCCAGGTACTCGGAGGCTGAGGCAGGAGGAATGACTTGAACCAGGAGGCAGAGGGTGCAGTAAGCTGAGATCACACCACTACACTCCGGCCTAGGAGACAGAGCAGGACTCCATTTCAAAAAAAAAAATTAGCCGGGGCCAAGCACAGTGGCTCACTCATACCTATAATCCCAGCACTTGTGGATTACCTGAGGCCAACATGGCGTAACTGTCTCTACTAAAAATACAAAAATTAGCCAGGCATGGTGGCGGGTGCCTGTAATCCCAGCTACTCAGGAGACTGAAGAGGGAGAATCGCTTGAACCACCCTATGGCTCTTGTTGCCTAGGCTGGAGTGCAATGGCATGATCTTAGCTCACTGCAACCTCTGCCTCCCGGGTTCAAGCGATTCTCCTGTCTCAGCCTTCTAAGTAGCTGGGATTACAAGCATGCACCACCACGCCTGGCTAATTTTGTATTTTTAGTAGAGATAGGGTTTCACCACATTGGCCAGGCTGGTCTCGAACTCCCAACCTCAGGTGATTCACCTGCCTCTGCCTCCCAAAGTGCTGGGATAACAGGCCTAAGCCACCTCACCCGGCCCCTTATTCTCATTCTTAAGCCTATTATCCCTGTAGCTTTCCATATCTTCAGTATATGCTAACTCATTTTCACATTGCTCACATAAAACTTTCTTGAGAAGGGTCTCTCTTGTAACCCAGGTTGGAGTTCAGCAGTGCTAACATGGCTCATTGCAACTTCGACCTCCCCAGCTCAAGCCATTCTCCTGCTTCAGCCTCATGAGTAGCTGGGACACAGGCACATACTACCATGCCCAGCTAATTTTTGTGTTTTTCGTAGAGACAGGGTCGCGTTATATTGCCCAGGCTGGTCCCAAACTATTAGGCTCAAGTGATTAGTCAGCCATCTCAGCCTCCCAAAGTGCCAATTACAGCCGTGAGCCACTGAACCTAGTCAGACCAAACATCTTGAGATCATCCTCAACTCCTTTTTCTCATACCCCATACCTAACCTATCAAACTGGTCTCTGTCACCATCTCGTCTAGTATGGAATATTCCAAGTCTTCCAAACTGGTCTCACTGTACTCTGCAGTCTATTTTCAACTCTGCAGCCAGAAAAATCCTTTCAAAAAATTTTAACAGGGCTGGGCGCCGTGGCCCACTTAAGGTCAGGAGATCAAGACCAGCATGGCCAACATGGTAAAACCCCATCTCAGTGGACGGTGGGCCAAGAAAGTCAGAATCCACTAAGGAATGTGTAACAACTCATCTGCCGAAATAAATTTTTAAAAATAAAGTTTTCTATTATTTAAAAATAATAGAAAAAAAAAACAAAATCCCATAAAAATACAAAAATTAGCCAGGCATGGTGGCAAGCACCTGTAATCCCAGCTACTCAGGAGTTGGAGACAGGAGAATCCTTTCAATCCAGAAGGTGGAGGCTGCAGTGAGGCAGGATCGTACCACCATACTCTAGCCTGGGAGACAAGAGCAAAACTACCTCTCCCCCCCAAAAAAAAAAAAAAAAAGCCTAACAGATGCCAGATGCAGTGACTTATGCCTGTTATCTCACACTTCGGGAGGCCAAAACAGGTGGATCACTTGAGGCTAGGAGTTTGAGAGATCAGTCCAGCCAATGTGATGAAACCCCATCTCTACTAAAAACAACAACAACAACAACAAAAAAAAAAAAATTAGCTGGGCATGGTGGCACTCGCCTATAGTCCTAGCTACTCGGGAGGCTGAGGCAGGAGAATTGCTTAATCCCAGGAGGCAGAGGTTGCAGTAGCTGAGATCGCACCACAGTATTCCATCCTGGCAACAGAGCAAGATCCTGTCCCCACCCCCCACCCCCGGCCACAAACAAACAAACAAAAAACACAGAAATGGCTGGGCACAGTGGCTCACAATTGTAATCCCAGGACTTTGGGAGGCTGAGGTGGGAGAATCGCTTGATCCCAGGAGTTGGGAGACCAGCCTGGGGCACATAGTGAGACCCTGTCTCTATAAAAATAAAATGATTTTAGCCGGGCGCGGTGGCTCAAGCCTGTAATCCCAGCACTTTGGGAGGCCGAGGCGGGTGGATCACGAGGTCAAGAGATCGAGACCAT